GTAAATTTGGTTTAAAAATAAACAAAAACGCCAGTTCTACACGCATATCCCATCAAGTTTGGATGTTTTTTAGCGAATTGAATTGCATTCCTTGGCATTCCTTGCAGTTCATAAATTTTGCACCAAATTCCTTTAAAATTCAAAAATCATTCAAAAACAACTATAATGATGGAATCAAACAACATATCTGAAAACAAAGGCTAGCCATTTCATTGAAAAGTGCGTTTTTTTTTGTTTTTGAGTTTTATAATAAGTCGCGCGATTTCATCGAAATTTGGGAAATGCCCAGCAAAATTTTGGGAAATTGCTGCAACCTGCACAAGCAACCTGCACAACCTGCAAAATTGTTTGGCTCTGTTAACCTTGACAAGACAAATATCACTTAGTTCTGCAAAATCTGTTGAAAAAAACATTCATTTGCTGCTAGAGAAAATTCATAACTAACGCTTACATAGAATCCAATTTTAAGCCCATTTTTTAAAAATTGTGCTCATTCACTCCATTCAATGTCAAAGTGGGCCAAATTTTGGGCTCTTTGGTCCCTGCTTATACAACTCAACAAAATTATGTAAGGTTTAAATCTCCAAAAATTTACGCAAATTGTTTAAAATTTGTTTTTACGCAAAGGTCTTAGGTTTTATATACTAAAAATCACATTTATTGACTATCAAGCAAAATTATTTTCTCTTATACAGGCTTATGGAGATTTAAAATTTCTAGAACTTTGTTGGGCTGTGTAAGAGGCTATTTGTGATAGAACTTTCTCATCAATTAACAAAGTTGTTTCAGCATAACTCTTGATTAATTAAAAAATCCAAAATGACCCATTTTTAGGGTAAAATTTTGCTTGAGAATTTCTGAGAAAAAAATGCACCATATTAATTTTAATGAAAATTTGAGCAACTTTGATGCTCTTACTTTTTTTGTCTGTCTAATCTTAAACCAATTTGAAAAAAAAGCGTTTGAAATTTCATGTTTTGTCCGTTTTGTCCGGTTAATTTGAATCAGCAGTGTATATCGCGCGTTATATTTCCCAAATTGGCCACATTGGCAATCCTTATCCCCATAAATTTACAAAAATTTGCGAATTTTGTTTTTACGTAAAGATTTTGAGTTTTTTATACTAAAAATCAGATTTATTGACTATCAAGCAAAATATTTTCTTTGATACAGGCTTTTGGAGATTTAGAATTTCTAGAACTTTGTTGGGCTGTGTAAGAGACTATTTGTGATATAAATTTCTCATCAATTAAAAAACTTGTTTCAGCGTACCTCTTGATTAATTGAAAAAGCCAATTTTAGGGTATAATTTTGGTAAGAAAATTCGTAGAAAAAAGTGCAACATATTAATTCTAATAAAAATTTGAGCAATTTTGATAGTCCTCATTTTTTGTTTGTCTAATCTTAACCCAATTTGAGAAAAATGCGTATCAAAATTTCAAACTTTGTCCGTTTTGTCCGGTTAATTTAAATCAGCACTGTACTTTGTGCGTTATATTTCCCAAATTGGCCAAATTAGCAATCCTTAAACCCCATCAGTTTACGAAAATTTATCACAGGTAAAAAAACTTTTCTTATTTGAGCTCAGGACAACAATATTTTTTGAATGATGTGGAAAACTTCAGTTGAAAATGACTAATTGGTAAGTCGAAATTTGTCTGGAAAGAAAACAGCACCCGAGCAGAAGAGTTTGTTGAGTTTTTTTAAAAGACGGAACCACAAGTAGCACAGAAAATTCCAACAACAAAAAGAAAAAACTGAAACAGTTTTTTTTTTCAAAATTGTGTTGTTTTGTCACCAATTTTTTAATGAGTAATACACAAGCATATTCTATAGTAATAATAATTTTATGCATATTCATTATCAGTTTCATTTTTTCGATAAATGAGTAGAAAAACAGAAAAAAAACAGTTCAAATAATAAGTTCAAACAATAGCTCTAAATGTTTTTGCAGACACTATTTTGAAATTTACAAAAATATACAAAAACTTTCAAACACCATCTTTGCTGACTTAAATTATAGAATTGGTTTTTCTTGTCACTGAGAGAAAAATTCCGAACGTAGCTTGATTCACGAGTCAAAAAGCTTTTGTAAAAGAAAACATTCACCAATCTCATATTTATTTGTGTTACCTGATTTTGCGAAGAAACAAAATTTAGTAGAAACCAGAATACACCCGAAAACAAAGTTGCTTTTTAAAAATCAGTAGTAAGAACAATAATCAAGTACTTAATGGTTGATCCTACCACTGAAATTAAGAATGAGCAAAATACAGCAAAGTTATCAAGATTGGAGCGAGAACTTCTATTAAATCATAGACTGAGGAGAGGTAGGTGCTCCAATGCAAGAATTAATCTCTTACACGGGCGGCTGACTTTGTTTTAATAAGCACTTTTGACATACAATATAAATTTCAGTGATGATGCTTCTGATTTTGTAAAAAAAAAATTGGAAAAATCCTGATTCATATGATTTCAATAAAACTTCAAAAACAATTGATACATACGATTAATTCAAACAAGTTTCGATTTCTTCCTATATGCGTGCTTACTGAATGCTTATTTGTCACTTACCTTATTCTTTCATATTTGATTGGCGGTAAAATTAAAATGTTTTGTTTTCTGAAAGTACGGTACAATTTTAAATCCGTAACGGTACAATTCCGGGTTTCAAAATATTTTGACATGATGGACATTTTCAGTTTCCTGAATAGTTTTTGAATACAGATTTAATAATTTTGTGGATCTTTGCAATTCCCTAGTAATTCAACTTGGATCATGTAAACTGAAACACTTTAGTTTTATAGTTTTTAAGAATTTTTTGGACGACGTTTTAATTTTATAATTTTATTAATTTTATTTCACAATTTGGACCTTGAGACCAAGAAAAATGGAGTTGAATATGCAAACGAATTTTCCATTTGAATTGATATAGAGGCAAAACAAAATGGTTGCGCTTTTTCAGAGGACAGTTTTTCGGAAGAATTTCAAGCCCTTAACTTTAAAATGACTTTGATTCAGCATCAACTTGACAGGTAATTTAAAAAAATATATGTATACCGATTTGCAAAAAGTGTGGACAGACGAAAATAAATAAAAAGAGCAATCAACTAAATTTTTGTGCAATTTTTGGATGCAAATTTGAAATTTTAGATGAAATTGAAACATAATTTTGGTCTGAAAAGTTAGCTCTTGCACGCGAAAGTTGTTTGAACAAGATCATTTGAACATTTAAACTATTTTTGTCTGTCGAAACTTTTTGCAACTAAGCAACTAAGCAAAACTTCAAAAATTAAAAAAAAACGGTTGTTCCAACTTTTGCATCGAAAGTAACAGAATATTTGTGCTCGGGGTGGTTTTTTTTCTTCAGACAAAGTTCGACTTTTTAACTAGCCATTTTTGACAAAACTTTTGAATATCATCCAAAAAGTATTGTTGCCCGGAGCTTAAATTTGAAAAGAATTTACATGTGATATTTGTTTGTCAATTTATGGGGGTTTATAGTTTGCCATTTTGGTTAATATGGGGATATTAACGCACCCCGCATTTAAGAAAAGTGAAAAAAAACGACTATAATGGATTTTCGTGGTCTTAAAAGTTGTAAATACCATCGATTCCCATGTTACGTTCAGAAAACGAAATTGGACTAAAAATGGATTCAAATCCATTTTTTCTCGCCAAATTAAAATGCATTGTAATTCATTTCGAGTCCATTTTAATGGATTTTATAATAAGTAGGAAATCACATTAAAATGGCAAAATGCGTGTTGTGCAAAATTTAGCGAGAAATTCAGCATTCATCAACTGAATGATGCGGAAACTTTGCAAAGCGAGTGTACGGCCTAATCCATTTCAAAACCTAAACTTAAATTGCAAAAAGATTCCGTTAAGATCTCCGCCCCCTCTCGCATCTCAGTAAGTGAAAAAAAATCGATTATAATTTAGTTTCATGGTCAGTGACCACAAAAGTGAAAATAAATCGATTATAATGGATGAAAAAAGGATTTTGTTGCCTCGAAAAACAGTAATACTATAATCCATTTTTATTTGATTATAATCGATTTGTTTTCACTTTTGTGGACACTGACAAGGAAATTTAATTATAATCGATTTTACTTCATGAAACTCCAATGCGGGACGTTATATATTACGCTATTAACGCATTAGCGGAGGTTTATCCGTCTTAGAAAACGTTCCAAACTGGTTGAAGGAAGCTTATATGCCCTGAATGATTTGTTACTAGGAGCAAAATTTATCACTTTGTACTTTATATGGCGTGTGGGGGAATAATTTTCACAAAAAATCTCAAAATTAAAAAAAAAGATCATTTCATTTTTTAACATTCAATTTTTCATGTTATTGCTGCGCCATAGACCTTCAAAGGCAGTCCGAACATTCAGCCTGATACGAGCAATCTTGTTTCTATTTAGCTTCGACTTGAAGGTCACAATTATTTCAAACAGTTGCCGTTAAGTTAGTTTAAAGTTATAGAGAGTTGCAAAAATTTCGGAGAAACAGAAATAATTAAAAAGAGTAATCTGCCAGTTTTGAGCAAAATTTGCATGCAAATTTGAATTTTTAGATGACAAAGAGACACACGTTCTGTCTGAAAAATTAGCTTTTGCAATGGAAATTAAAATTTCTGAAACAGGTAATTTGCTCTTTTTAATTATTTTTGTCTGTCCGAACGTTTTGCTACTAATTATAAATACCTTACTTGTGTGTTTTTCTTTTGGTGAAAGCAAAGAGACAGAAAATCTTCACTGTGCACGTGAGCTGGTGCGTTATAGCCAATAATTTGGGCTATTTGAGGGTAAACATTTGCATTAGATCTTTTGATAAACGCAGAGATCACTGCCGCAATCTGAGATAATTGCCATAATTTAAAACATATGATCACTACGGAGGCAACTATTCGCCTATACTCGATGATCTCCATTGGAAAACAGCCTGTGCCCAATCCCCTTCCTCTATCGATCCCAGGGCAAAATTACCCCACG